ACTTCAGGCACCTCGTCATTCCACCACGTCCTCCAATTTCAATTTCAATTCTCATCTTTTTAGCTTCTTGAATTTTTCCAGCTCGCAAGGAGAATTAAAGTAAAAAATTTAAGTAAAACCTTCCAATCAAAGTTCAAGTAATCAGTGATATTTTTTCGTTTAACTAAAATTAGGGTGGAACCAATACAATAATTTGTTATTGAAAAAAAAATACTTTTCCATTGCCAGTATGTAGAAATTTTATCTCTTCATATTTAATTATCTCCAAATAGGTATTCATTATTCATTGTAATGATTCACAAAATCTTCATCGAATTGGCGATTAATTTTCCATCCCACTCGTTCATTAACTATATTAACGAGTATTCGTTCCGTCGTATTCCACTGCACCACTGACTCCAAATTTAAATGAAAACATGAATATTCAACGTTGAAAAATTCAAAGATAAATTTGCCCGTACATTGCCCCGGTTTTCGTCAATTCACTATTCATTTTGTCATATAATTTCATTTTGTTATTTTTTTTCTTCTCTGACTTTTTAAGTGAATATGGTTAATAATAAAATAAAAACTGGGAATTAAAAGGCTAGACTTGAGCCGGATTCCTCTGGCAACCGGCTTATTTAACGTTTTTCGTTATTGGTGCAAAACTCACCTTTTCTCTCTCTGCTCTTTCGAGCCAATCGTAAAGCTATCCTTGAACATCTGTTACCCACCCCCAATGCACATCGATTTTAATATCGGCCAATCGTCTGTATTGTATAGAGTCCACGAGTACAATTTTCATCCTTTTATTATACTTCCCTTATTAATTTAATATCATACCCATGAGATTTTTATGATTATTATTAAAATTAATTATGGTTGAAGAAAATGAAAATTTTCAATGAAAATATACAGCTATTATTTTTATAACATTAATCATGGAAAGTTTCATTGTAAAATCAGCAAATTCAAGTAATGCTTATTCACCTTGTATTAGCTTTTTCAAATAAAAACCCGGGAAAAGGAGAGAATAGGGGAATCTAAACGCCTCGGTTCCACTCCATCCATTCGTCAAAGAGTTTACCGCCATAAAATCACAATGTCAAAGAGGCGTGCAGACCCATTGCCATTCTCCCACGGGAACACTTTTCGCGGAATATTCGTCTGCTCGTGGAGCGATGACATATATGTCCTACAACTTTTTGAATTTTCCCACTCACTCCCATCTCTCACACACACACCTAAAAAGCCTTATGTCATATAACTTGAGGATAAATTTAGGGCTGAACGCATTCACGAATATCAAATTGAACTTTATAGGGGAGTATTATAATTTCATTAATCTTTTATTTCAGCAATTTAGTCGAGAGATAAAAAAAAATAAGTTTGATTTTTCCTAGTTCTGAATGGCAAGTGCCAATAGTGAAAATTCTCCGGAAAATTCTCGCTCCTGATTGGTTTTATTCTCGGGGGAGGGGTTGAGGTCCCTCGGTTGGCCTTATAGTGCCACCCTCTCAACGTCACTCCGGATGACTCTTATCACTATCCAAAGCACTCCAACCACTTTCACCCTCCACATATCCGTCATATAAAAACAATTATCAATTACGAATTATCACCATTATTGGAGTTACAATTACAAAAATTTCACGATAATAAGCTTTATGCTGGTGAATGTCATTACATCAATCTTTAAACTTCCATATTAAATGAAGTCAATGAAATCAAGTAAATTTGATAAAACAAATCTGACGGACCATTTGACTGGATCAATAAATTCAAAACTGTGTTCGTGGCTCGCACAGTTGTCTCGTGTCCTTTATTCAAGTGTACGAAAACTCGGGGAGTAAGTATTGGGAGGAGCCTGGCAGATGAATCGTACAGCACCCAAGGCGACTATAAGAACTCTTTCGAGCGTGTAATTTCGATCGTTCACTGGCGAAACGCTTTTCCTTCGACAAACTTTTTCACCTCAGGTACAGAGACACGAGCGTATATATATTCTCAACAGTCGCACATATCCTTTGCTATTCTAGTAGTCATTATTTTTTATTCTAGTACGTTTAGTCTGTACTTGGAATGAACAGTAATATACCTTTTCCATCGTCAATATATAACCGATAGTTTTCCCGTATTTTTGACAGGTGTAAAATGAAAATGTGGCATTTTTTGATTTTTGACAATTGGAGTTAAAAAATTGTCATTTATCCGAGTGAGGAGTGAGATTGAGAATGAAGAAGAGGAAGAAGTTGAGGTATTTTGAAGAATTGAAGACACATGATTCGATGCGACTATTATGGTGTGAAGGTGAGGTTGATGGGAAAAAAAATTGTTGAAGGTGTTGAGGAGAGGGAGGGATTGCTAGGGCTTGTCGTGTCCAAGGGAGTTAGGTGAGATAAGAGAGGTTGGTCTCCTACTTGCTTTCTTGAGTAGTTGAACGCACAGCGTGTGCAGCATCCCTCACTTGCCAGCCAATATTGCCTCACGCACACAGACACTCCTCATACCAATATTGCCACACATTTTCTCCACATACATACGGGCTGGCACGTACCGAGGAGGGAGTTATAGGAAGGCAATGGCCACTGGCAAAGATGAAATCAGACGTCGGGTGGTAATAAAAAAAATGGCACAAAATGGCTTTCGTTGGTAAAATCCGCTACTTTTTTTTTTATTTTGAAAACACGTAGTTTGCTCGGTAACAAGTTTATACGATGGTAAATGATGTAAATTAAATATTTCTTTCTGGTTTATTAATATTATAAAATTGAGGAGAAATTGTAAAATGAAAATAATCGTGACAATTCGTTATATCAATTTTATTGGATGAACAGCGTTGATGCAATAGCAAATACTGACTTTTTCCAATTGAAAAAAAATTTAATTTAAAATATTTTCATTTTCTCATCTCATAAAATTTTTTTCAGGTAATCATCACTTGCTCCTTACCTCCTCGAATTGAAAAGATACAACTGAAAGAATGACAACCATGAACCCCGCAATGCGAAAGCCCTTCCCACGCTTAAAAACCCAAATACTGTCCCTCGAGTGATAAAACATGTTTCCTCAGTCTCTGTAAAAATATTATTGAACCCAAGAGGAGCTCACGTGGTCGACAGTAATGAAAACAATTGGAAAAAAATAGTGATAATAATATAGGGGTTTATGTTTCAGGTGGCCTCAGTGAAAACTCGAGGACGATTCAATTGTGGGATCGGCTGTGCTTCCGGGAAAATTGTTCACCCTCCTGTCCCTCACTGCGTGGGCTCTCGTTACCCATCGTTTTACCGTTCCGGGCTATTTCACGAGTATAGATTAGTCCACCCCGTTGTACGTGCGAATACGCATATCACACCGTGTATATGAAACCAAACGATTTATCTCTTGGATAATCGTTATTTCAGGCTCCTCTCGGTAGAGTGAAATTACATTAACATAAACACGCTGCTCGACCAGTACGCGTACATCAAAAATATCTACTGTTACAGGATATCTATTCGCACTCGTCAATGCATAAACGCTTTACCATTCTCCACCGATGATCGACCGTGGATCGTTTATGTTGCGGAGAATCTCACCAAGTTCGTAAAGTGAAAGAAATTTAATTATTCTGGGTTTGTATTGAACTCTATACCGAGGTTTAAATCATAATTTTTTATTAACTTGATTTATTTTATCTGCTTATGACACGTCTTGAGAAAAATATATTTAAAAAATTTTCTGACATATGATAAGTGACATGAAATTTTATGAGAGGTATCGACTTTTCTGTCTTGATTTGTCTTGAATTTTTCTTAAAATAAATGGATGAATCCATCGACGTTGGTTAGACTATAAAATATAATTCTTATCAGACGACATAATTTAATGCAAAGATAGATGAAGATGAAAATTGACGCAATTGAAGAATTTAACGGGTAAAAGTCTCGCGGAATTTCATATTTTCAGGGAATACCTTGTCAAGGGGATAATTGAGGTTGTACGATGTTGCCAATATGAATTATCTACCAGGCTGATATAGTTACGGAGACACTGCGGAGACAGGGATGTTAGTCGATAATATTTGAGTTGTCGAACGTCATCGACGGCTTAAACCGAGTATAGACAAGAGACTGGGGGATGGATTCTGGGTTAAGTAAGTGGTTAAGAGGTTACTCCGTATACTCTCGCTCCTCATCCAACCAGGCGTAATGGAATAAAAACACTCGACCCGAATGTCACGAGAGATGAAGGACGAGGTTCTCCTTGCCATCGGAACCCTTCACCGACAATGTCCACATGGCCGACAACATACCGGATTTTTTTTTCACCACATATTATAAACAATTTTCCGAACAAAAACATTCCTCTTAATAAATTCAAAATTTCCGATTATTCGTGACATTTTATAAAAACTGAATAGCACGCGAAAATAGTCTTGAGTGTGCCAGTTGAAGAACAATATCGGACATGAACCATCAACAGGTGCTTCCCACCACGATCCCCTACCTCAAGCAATTAGCGTGGTATCCACTGCACAACAGCTCAAAAAAATCGAAAAAAAAACTTGAAATTAATTGAGCAGCATTGGTGTTAAAAAAGGTCAAGTTTAAGACAATTAAACAAGTGTTGTAGAAAAACGTGTAAATAAATTAAAATAAAAGATATGAGTGTGAGTGAAACTAAATGGCATTGCTCGTTGACTCATCCTGTCGCGTCTTATATTACTTGAGGAGTTGTTAAAGAGGGTGGCAGCAATATAGATGCCGGTGGTGGTGCCCGTGGTGGTGCCCGTGGTGGTGCCAGTGGCGGTAAGCCCTCAGGAAAAGGTACACCGGTACATATACCGGACCAAAGGAGTGAGAAAAGCAAACTTGCACCGGGGGTGGTTTTCCGCTGTTGAATAGGCGGAGCATCGTCGCGCGTCGTGTGCCCTCCAGCCAGTTGGCGTTACCAAAACCCCTCCGTGTGGAGATACCCTCAGCCGACACATTCAATCTACCACTTCACTTCAGTTACCCATCATACACGGTTACGAGTGGACGCACCTAACTTATTTCTCAAGCACTTTACCCAAACCTCGTGGACTTGTGTATTTATTGTGATTTTTTATTCATAGTGGCTACTATAACGGATTTAAGAAAGACCAAGACATTCCGTCACATTTATTTTCAAGGTAAGACATCAGCTCACCTTTATTCTTTTTTTTTCTCTCAATAATTCATTATGAAGAGAAAATTCGACCGAGTAATTTTTTTTTTTTATCATTTTCGTTTGTTTACACCACAAATTAACAAATGGTTAGATATAGGATTTATACTGAAAACGATGTCAGCGTTTTGATTCACGTTAATGAAGGTGGTGCAGGAGATATTTGACTCTGATTGCTTCACCGTGTGGAACGTTAATTAGGATCATGAGGTCAGCTGATCTCGCATGCTCAATTCTTTCTGTGCTTTTTTTTAATGAGCATAATATGTTTGTATATTGCGCTCGAGGCCTTCCAACGCCTCTCGGTACATGAGTAATTTTTCGATACAGAAGAAAGGGCATTCATGGTATTTGCCCGAGTCTTTGAGAAAAAATGGATGGAATGTTTTCAATTCTCAAAGGCTCAAGAGATGGAGAAGGAGATAACTGTTTAGTGTATGGGAGAATCGTTTTCAACTTTTCTGTATCTTGGTTTCTCAATTTCACTATACGTGCTTCCCTGTTATTTCCCTTTTGTCAGAGTTTCTGAAGCTTTAGTCAGCAGGAGTGTGAGGGGAAAATGCGGAGGTTGTATTGAATACCCCCGTATAGATAGTCAAGAAATCTCGCGTGATGCAGACAAGCTGAAGATTCATGCCAATAGATAGGTTATTGGGATGAGGGATTTTTCGGATAAAGACATAAGAACGCAATACGTGGATATTAATTATCGTCAATGGTTGAAAATTTCTGTGGAATTATCACCAAAAAAATATTTAAAAAAATATAAAGCAGAGTTGTATACATTTTCCTTTCTTCTTGGAAATTTCTTCTTGGTCATTTATTCCGTAGCGATGGACAAGTGGAAAAATAGGCAATTGAAAACGATAACTCACCTTTAAACAATAAAATATCTCACCTAGATAGCTGATAAGTTTCGTCAATTGATTTTCCCCATGTTCGAATAGCTTGTCTAGGTATGTGCTACGATGTAGGCAGAGGGTTTATAATGACTGCGATTTGTGGTGTTTTGCTAGAGCTGTTGGGGTGGGTGCTCATGCACAAGGGGGAATCGTTTAGCACGCGATCTTGTCGTAATTCTGCTTCTCGGTATGCCGGCACGCTATGTTTCCTACACGATAAACTTTCCGTACACTGGGAGTCCTCAAAACTCTTTTACACATTCGGTACTGAGAACAATATCCATGATGGCACATTCAGTATTCGTCACGTTTTATCACAAAGTCCCATGTCAATTCTCTGATTAGAGGCAACTTCTCAAATGAACTTGATCCGGAAACTGACGAGAAAGTGAAATAATTAACGCGAATTTCTTCATCTGAATTTTCTTTTAAAGGAAAAACAGGGGAAAAAATCTCGCACCTCTCGAGAAATTATTCATTAGCTCCGTCTGCCCGGACATTGATGAAGAAAATTAGAAAGTCTTAATAAAACATCAGGTAGTAATTTCATAAAATTCAATAGGCTTTCAAGAGAAATAATTTATATACGCGCCATTTCGGTGTGGGGTGTTTTACGAATCTTTCATAAATCGCTTCTCCTCCGTAAAGTGCACGCAAGCACACACCAAATTGATCAGTGGATCGTTAACAAAATTCTACCCATGAACTCCAAAATCTCCCACTTTCCCTCGTCCAAGTTTGTGAAAATTAATGACATATACAGAAGAATCATTTCTCCAATGCAATGAAGTTAAAAGTATTTTATGTCTCTCTATACCATGAAATTAAGCTGAGGCCCTGATCTAGACGTAGAAAACAGTGATGAAATAGCTATACTAAATCTGAAAAAAAATGGTGGTTAGTAATAATGGAATAAAATTGTGCGCGAATGAATTTTGCAGTAATGATGTCAAAAAGTCCCTCCTGAAAATATTAGTTAAACTTGCCAACGAGTTAGATAAAGCGATTCAACGATACCCAGCAACTGTGGATTAAACTATATTCATCAGCAATTCAGAAGTGATCTCGATCCCTCTGCATGAATTATCACAAAGTTCAAACCATTATGCTTCTGACTGATCCAACTCGAGTAACTACTCAAGGATTCTTTCGTCAGTTGAATTATGCAGTAATCTATTAACAATACCAATTTATAGAGATAACTATTGCATTGCATGTCAAACTTGTTTTTAACCAGAATTATATTATCATTGTATATGATGTGATAAGGCTCATTAAATTTTCAAGTGGCTCTCTGAAAGCTGAGGGGTGCAATGCCAAAGTTTTCACCTTTCATCATTCCAGAGAAGTACATTCTCTCTTGTGTTATGCATATATAATGGTAGAATAAATAGAACAATTACCATAATGATGTATTCCTCGTTAATTGAGATGTTTTATTCATAAATAATGAAGCGATTGTCGTATGATATTAATTATTGTCTTGTGTCGACAACAACTCCAGGAAGATAATCGAAAAATGCCTGGATAAATTCTACGTAGGAGTAATAATAAAATTAATCAACGGTCTGGAGTCTCTCACAGCAACAGCCTCTGTTTCTTCAAGAGATATGGATATTTTATCATTGACATTCGATTCTGCCAGTTTAATCTGTTGACAGACGATGACACATGACGAACGAAACTTTTTTAATTCTAACATCGGCCGGTCGGTGCTGTATTTATGTATTAAACAGGCATTATTTCTACGTAGCCGATGAATATGCATTGTTTTGGGTGGCAGTAGCGAGATGTCAAGTGCAGCACACGTCGCTATCACTGGCTCATCAATCAAACACAGTTTTAGTAGTGGCCCACCAGTGGCGTTAGCTCTTCTACTGCAACAGCGTATATATATTCAAACTGTGCGGTACTTTGGCCCCAATGAGTTCTAGCCTCATCCCACATTCCGCCCATGTCATCCCTCAGACACCTTTCTACCTCTATCCTATAACCTATCCTTAACCTCGCCTGGCTCATCCACAATTGCCACTAATTTACGTCATTTATTCTTTGGTTTCGTTTTTTTGAATTAATTATTTTTAATAAAATATTCGGGATTGGTAGAATTTCAGAGAAAATATGATTTGAATCAATTCGATGAACCCTCAACCAAGTCTGACAATATTTAGCCTCTTCATTGAATCAATTGTCATAAACCAATACTCAGCCGTCAAATCTCCGCCAATAAAATATCCACCGCCACCTAAAACGCCATTTCACATTCATTCCCGGATTCTTCCGAGTGACAGAGACGCGAACTCTGGGGGTGGATGTCGTTGGCCGAGCGGACGATCCATTTGCCCAAATATTGGCCAACTCTGTCATCTCACCCCTGGCTAAGCCCACGGTGTGATTCAAAACGTTAATCACACGAATCAATCAGCCTGCCATCACAAAACTCTCCGATAGTCAGCACTACAAACACCTTTCATACACTCTTCCATGTGTATCCCTGTGTGTGTATCCAATGCATACCCCTCACCTCCCATACGACATATTCTTCATGTGCCCTACTCTCAAATCAGTAATGACCAATTCAATTGGTGCAATTTCACGCGCGAATTCGTTTACTGCTTCGACCGACAACGATTCTCATATACCACTGCACATGGAATTTTCACACTGTATAACCTGATAAATCTATACCTACCATATGACCATTGTTCAGTCTTATTGGTGTTCTAATCCTATTCCATTGGTTTGTTTTTCATCGCTCGACAAAATTGAAAATTCATCGTTAAATTTGTTGAAAATAATTTTTAAAGGAGAGAGCGAAAACCTTGGCTGAATGCTGCGAACACCTGGGATCGAGATCGCGAGGGGAAGATCGAATCAACAAATTCACGGTTTGCAGACTGGGGGAGTGCGTGTTTATCCAGTGTGACGATATAAAACGATTTTTTGTATAGTTGAATATGCTTTTTTAGGAGAGCAATTTTTATTTGCCAGAGTTGGTGAGTGATTGAGGGATTGGGTTCGACATGTGAGTGGTTTTTGCAGTTGAGAGAAATTTTATCTCCGTGCAATGGGGGATAACTTGGATGAAATTCGAGTTGAGATTGATATTTTTCAGGGCACGGAGGGTCACAACTCGTGAATTCCGTGGATTTTTTTATTTTATTTTGTAATTTGGATAAATTATGAGTGACGTGGTAACCTGGTATAATTACCATTGACCTTTACAATGCATCTAAATTTCGCTTCATCAATATAATGACACAAGTTTAATTACCATGAAATAACAATAGAATTTATACATTGTAATGACGATAATAATGAAAGCCCGATGCTGAAACTTGCTGAAGAAATGAGAGACCTCCCGAGTTGATAATGATTTACTTTCCTATAATTGCTACCTGATACCTCTTGAAGGTGGTTCTTCCCTCAGTAACTATGCCAATAGGTCCATGGCATAACCATATACCCTGCTATATTCAGAAACTTTTCTTTCGACAGACATCCACTTTTAGCCGAAACCCTATTTAATTTTATCTCACATCTTCTATTTTTCCTACCTCTTTATCTCTACCTCCAACTGCCCTTCCATTTTCACTATAATTTTACACAATTTTTTATCATGAAGAGATATTGACGTTGCATGGATCAAATTTTTTCATCCATTATTACATCCATTATTATAAAAAATATTACAATAAAAATAAGATAATAATTACCAGTGAACAATTTATCCTACATTAATTGAGTCCAGGTAGACTTAGCCCCTACATATATAAATTGTATTTTAGCCATAATACCACTGCATAACTTACAGTAGATGAAACTGGAGCATAAAGTTTTCGTCTCGAGGTCGGCGGGCTTTCAATTATTCGCGAAGCCCGAATACCGTATACATAAGAGTCTGCGTTTTCACCCAACTCCCTATGTAATCCAGCTACATTTATATACACATTAGACAGGGCGGAGTGGTGAAACGAAAGCGAGAACTGAGGCTTTTTCGCGTAGTTAGAATTGCACCGGATTGCGAGCGCGGGAGAGAGGGTGGTGAAGCCCTCGTACGTCA